TGAAATTTCGCCTACTCAACTATATATTTTTTTTATATGCATTTTATTCTTTTGATGATGGATGATAAATGTTTTCGTTTACTTTCACCAAATAAAAATGTATAATATTATTGTTTAGGCGAGTGGGAGTTGGATGAACTCGACAATAACATCGTGATTGCAGATCTTCGCTTTCTTTTCATACCATTTTTGGAGATGATTTATGCGAACTCGTCGACTTTATGCACCTAAAATTGTAAATTGAGATAAATTTCTCACGGAATATTTCAATTAGGAATTGATAGATTCCAACATGTTTGGTAGATCGATCATTCAAAATATTAGATTAGTAATTATGATGAATATCTCATAATCATTAGGCGTGTTTACATTGATATACATTGATAAACAGATTGTATCTATACGTTTTGTTTCAGAGCGAAGACTTGACGTCATTCTTATTCAAATATCCAATAAGCAGACTAACTCCAACCGAAGCTGCACAGGTAAAAAACAATTTTTGTTTTTATTAATCCATCCAATATCCTGAAGTAATTGTAAATAATTCAACTTTCATTCATAATTAGAAATTATTATAATTTGTTTAATTTTACAGATCGAAATTTTATTGCACACTTTACAAATCCAAAGACCAATATTGAAGGCCTCAGACATATTCACAATTGGGACAGGTCTAATTGCTTCTGTAAGTAATTAATAACTTTAATTAACAAACATTACAAACAATTTCATACATAAAATTATTTAGACATTAATGCATGCAATAAATCTTTTAATGAGGAGTGTCATGCATTTTGTGCATTTAGATTCTTTGTTTTTATGTATTGTTATGCTAAGTGAGAGCAAATTACAATGATGTTACTTACTTTTAACAACTTTTTCTTTCGTCTCATTACACGTTAAGTGCTTTGGCTATGTAATAAACGAGTGATGTAAACAGAGAGAAATTATCAAGCGAAAGACAACGAAGAATACCAAAGGCATAGTGACCCAAAGTGAAAGTTCCAACAGGAATTGTTCTCTAACCTCTACAATAAACAAAATTTCCCCATCATAGGTTAATTGTTTTCTTTTATGATCTATTGAACTATTGATGTGTTGTGTTATTTATATGAGTAATTGATAACTGTCAAGAAAAACAAAGCAACCTTAACAATTCTTAATACAATAACGAAAATTAATTAAACTACTGCAAAGAATAATTGTTGTTTGTTCAATTCTCATAGAAAAATAAAATCATAAAATAATCAAATGAAAAAAATGAAAATGTTGAAATTACAAAAACTATATATTAACAATATATTTGCCAAGTAACGTATCAAGTATATTTACTTGATGAGATACACGTATTTTGTCAAATACACAAGTACAAATAATATTCCAAGTACTTGTAAGTATTACTTGACAAGTACTTGTAAAATCACGTTACGCAATTTAATTGAAGGAAACGAACTTTCAATGAAGTTATTAAAAAAAGCTACAATGAAATAATGTATGCAGTTTTTTTCTGGTCTAGAGTCTAGACCCGAGATTTTATACATGTCTTTCTTTATGGTTTTTACTACGTTTCATTCATGATTGTACGAATTTACGAGAATCGTCTGCGTTTTTTTTGCTGCATTCCTTTGCACTCGAGGAACGTAGTATTTTTTTTGTTTAATTTATTTGAAATCAATGAATACATTCTCTATATTTTAATTTAATTTGCACATTACTTGCAAACCAAACTTAACAATTTCTTTTTAATTGAATGCATAAGGTAGTGTACATAATAAAGTTCTCAGTCATCACGATCACAACTTTTTGTAAATAAAAAGTTTTTTTTTAATCCCTCTTTGAAATGTGTGAGTTATTTCTACCGCACTCAAGAATGTTAAGACTTGAATTGTTCAAATTATTTACATTAGAGAAACAAATATTCTTTCATTGTTTGCAGATATCCGGAACGGTGATCACTTATGTGCTCGTAGCATTGCAGTTCCACGCTTCTTGGGCAAAGTAAAACGAAAGGGAAAAGATGAAGAGAAACGAGAAACCACAGATCAGACCAATATGCTTATGCAGATCCATCTATCCGACAACAATTTTATGCAGCATGATGGGATTATTCCCAATCACCACAGATCACGTAAACGGTCAATGCGTCTTCAGAACATCGAAACCATGGCTCGGCTATTCAGTATTTCGCATATTCTACCTTATCCTCCAGGCGTTGTACTCCACGGATCTCTTGAACATGTTCGATTTGACGAATGGCAAATCCATACACACAATTCTGACGAGCGTTACAGATATTACTTACAGCGTTTACATAACTGTTTTTACTATAATCAGCGTTAAAAGTTACCCGAAGCATCTGAGCACGTTGAATAATCTGAAGCCGATCTTGCAGAAGCAGTTGCTCTGCCAGAACGCATTGCACGTTATTTACAGGGTGCAGTACGGTTATTTATTGATCATTTGCGTGGTATTTTCTATACAGTTTATTACCTTGACGTGGTTGCATTATTCCACCACGTTTGTATCCGAGTTAGATTTGAACGCTTTCTTGAATACTTTGTTGCAAAATGTTGTTTTTATCTTTTACGCTTTGTTCCTGTTCTACACTAACGTCTTCATTGGTATACTGAGTTGCTACGAGAACTACTTTAAAAGCTGCTTGAATTACGTCCAAGTACATCCAATTAAGCACATGGAGCAGTTCAGCCCGAAGAAGGATTTCCTCAGCGTGTTCTATTACAACTGCTGCTCGGAGCTGCATCCTCCAACGAGCAGTGTGAAACTGTTAAACGGCGAAGAAAAAGTAGAGTTCTTTCGTTCGCTTCATGAAGACATCTGCTTGGTCCTCTACGACCTAAATTCCAGCTTGAACCCGCAGCTTCTCATCCACACGGTCGTCGAGTTAACAGTTCTCATAATCAATTGGTACGCCGTTATTATCTATACGGCTTACGACTTCTCTTCGGTGCCGAGGTCCAGGACCACGCACTACCTGAACTGCGTCTACGTTGGCTTCCATACGGCCGCGCTCTTCCTGCTCCTGAAGAACTTCCAGTACCTCAACAACATGGTAAGAAGCAACGTTCTCTTCTCTNAGAGAGAGAGAAGAAAAGTAAAAGTTATTTATTAACATTTGTCGTTTGTTGCATCGAATACATAAAAATTTTCTCTCGGATTTATCCGATCATCATCAGATTCACGGCCTCAGCTATTACCTGCTGGAGTACTCGACGAGGATCTCCGAGTCCGGGGAGTTTCTGCAAGTGCGGATGTTTTTGGAGAAACTCAAGCAGTTCAGACCGCTCACGGCCAACGGCATTTTCACCGTCGATCTGCGCATCGCCGGACCGGTAAAAATGCTCCAGATTCGGGTCTCCTTTTATTATGAATGGATTAATTGTTCTCGTTTTTGTTTCTTTCTTTCTTCAGATTTGCGCCAACATATTGACCTACGTTTTGGTAGCCTTGCAGTTTGACGTTCCGAAAGCTGGCAATTAGGAAATTGGGAGATAAGACGCTCATCATTACGTTTTCTAAAACAGATGCAAAACCGTATTGCACCGCAGATGTCTCGATTTCTATTTCAATTTCCTGCAACAATAACAATGGTTAATAGAAGCAACACAAAAGATCAAATTTAATTAAACTTTTTAACCAAAAGCATGTTAAAAAACTAAATAATCAAGCTATTAGTCTACAGACATGGATGTAATTAATACACGTTAATTTATATAAAATTTAAATTAGTTTAAGCTAATTAAATAAAATAATCATATTATGAGTCATAAACTTTTTTTCAACAAACTACATATATAAATCCATCAACTAGTTGCAATTTTTGCGTTTTCTAAAATATCGAGGCCACTCTAAGAAAGTACCTGTCTATTATTCATTAATAATGGTTAATCTTTGCGTTTTACAAAATATCTTTTTGATTCTATAAAAATGGTTTCCAATTAATTTAAAATGTTATCTATTACAGCCTGAACTAGTCGTTTTTTTACTAGTTTTACTAATATAAATGATTCACTAAATTTCTTGTTCATTAATACACTAATTTTAAGAATTGTATTTTAGTAAAATTGTAAGAAGTTATATTTGTTGAGTAAATTAATTTATATGAATAAAAATTAAAAAGTAGGTCAGTGTAACAAATTGTCCGTTATGAAATAATTTAATTTGGTTTAATTCTTTTATTAGGATATAATATAAACAATATTGATTTTGTGTCTGAGATCTCATCAACTGTTGTAATAATGAAATTGTAAAAGTTCACTCTCTAAGTGGAAATTACTGATTCATATATGGCTGACATTTCTCGCATTTGATACTAACACAAAAAAGTCGCATGCTCTTGGTCGTGAAATGAAGTGAAAGTCTCATGATCGACGGTGATCTTCGTTATTAATGGAACGAATCGTTGAATGCATTTTCTTTGAATAAGTCGGCTATTCGTTATAGTTGACAAATAACGTGTCAAGTATTTGTCAAGTGTAATTCAAATATAATTGGGTTGGTAACTTTTTGTTAGTTATATAAATTATTAGAGGTTGTTACATTGCGAATACAGACAGCATACTTGTCTTTTTCGATACAGAATTTTGAAAAATGTATTTGGTAGTATTGTGTAGTGTGTAGGCACCTTTGAATAGTTTTAGATTAGATATGTATTATTGTGTTTAAATTACGAAAATAGTTTATTTCGAATTTTTTTAGTAACTATTTTTTATTTACATAATTTAAGGTGGTATAATTGTTCGCATTTGTTTAAATAACGATAGTCTTTTGTAAATAATAAACAATTTTGACAATAGTGTAATTTTTAATGATTTTTGCAGTTCTGTTGAGTTATGTAATTGGTAAGTATTTTGTAGTAATTTTAGGGAATATCCTCTTATTTAAGTAGGTTAATTAAATAGCGTATTTCTTAAGATAAGTTTATTTTGTAAATCAATAAATAATAATAACATAGATAATTAAACAAATAAATCAACAAATAATTAATGACCGCTGTTTGTTAACAGTCCTGTCCACGCGTGTCCATTTCCTTGGTCGAGTCCTGAGCCGCCTCCGTATCCACTTCCTCCTCCACCTCCACCACCGCCTCCGCCGTGAGCTTCGACGTGGTTTGACTCGATGTGGCCGCCTCCGAAACCGCCGCCTCCTCCACCTCCGTGACCACCTCCGATGCCACCTCCATGACCACCGCCTCCGCCGTTAGCAATGATCACGTGTTCTTCGATTTGGGTATGTCCTCCACCTCCTCCGTGTCCACCGCCAAATCCGCCTCCGAATCCACCTCCGTGACCGCTACCTCCGAATCCTCCTCCGTGTCCACTGCTTCCAAATCCTCCTCCGTGTCCACTACCTCCAAATCCTCCTCCGTGTCCACTGCCTCCGAAACCACCTCCGTGTCCGCTACCTCCAAATCCTCCTCCGTGTCCACCTGAGATTTCACCCTCAACGATGATTCCACCGCCTCCACCGTGTCCACCGCCTCCATGTCCACCTCCGAATCCTCCTCCAATGTCTCCGCCTCCATGTCCACCTCCAAATCCTCCACCGATGTCACCGTGTCCACCGCCTCCATGTCCACCTCCAAATCCTCCTCCAATATCACCGTGTCCACCTCCAAATCCACCTCCGTATCCGCCTCCTCCACCACCTCCGTGAATTTCGACGTGTCCACCTCCGAAGCCGCCGCCATGACCACCATCATCTCCACCTCCGTGTCCACCTCCGAATCCTCCACCGATTCCACCTCCGTGAACTTCAACGTGACCACCGCCTCCTCCTCCTCCATGACCACCTCCGTGGATTTCATCATGACCGCCTCCGAATCCTCCTATTCCACCTCCATGTCCTCCTCCAAATCCGCCACCATGAACTTCAATGTGACCACCTCCTCCTCCGCCACCATGAATTTCATCATGACCACCTCCGAATCCTCCTCCGTGTCCACCGCCGAATCCTCCTCCGTGACCTCCTCCGAATCCTCCTCCTATGCCACCTCCATGGCCACCTCCAAATCCTCCTCCGTGTCCACCTCCAAATCCTCCGCCATGAACTTCAACATGTCCACCTCCTCCGAATCCGCCACCGTGTCCACCTCCGCCACCGTGTCCACCTCCGAATCCTCCTCCGATTCCGCCGCCGTGAACTTCGACATGACCACCTCCGAATCCTCCTCCATGACCTCCGCCGAAACCACCGCCGAATCCTCCTCCGTGTCCAAGTCCATTACCACCATGATCTTCAATGATGTGTCCTCCTCCTCCTCCACCGCCTCCGTGACCACCGCCGCCACCTCCTCCTACATGGTGATGACTCTCAATAACCTTAACAATAGCAGGACCTCCACCTCCTCCGCCGCCACCTCCTCCGTGTCCTCCGAAGTCTGGTCCACCATGTCCACCGAAATCACCGCCATGTCCACCATCGTCGTGAACTAACACTTCTTTATGTGGTTCAGGCACGTGTATTCTGATATGAACGCTAATCAAAAAAATAATCCCAATTAACAAAAATTTTAATCCACAAAAAAAAACTTACTGTTCTTTTCCAAACGTAGCGAGGACCAACCCGATTTGCGACATAGCGCACAGGAACTGTAACAGAAAAAATGAACAATTAACCACACCGTTCCTCAAATGATTCGCAAGAACAAATTAAACTCACGGCAAGCGCGGCACCCAAACATCTCAACTTGACGGACATTTCGGCTGCACAAGAAGCTCTTTCGAATGCTCTCTGTGTGCTCAGCTGTTGTATTATGGTTGAATCCGTGAATGGGACAATTTATATATGGAATCCCTCTTTGGCGGTTCGGCAATAAACGTCGCGGTTTTTGGCGGGGGAAGCGCCCCGGAGGATGGGATTAAACGGTGGAAGATTCTGGCCGTGACCCCGGAGTCCGTCAAGATTTTACGGCAAAAGTGAGAGTAAATAAAAGAGAAAGGTCATTGAACAATATGTGTAGTTTCGCTCTCGCACTCTCGGCTTTCCAATATTGAATTAATTCGTTGTTACTTTCTTTCAATTAATAATTGCCCCTCATAATTTCCGCCGCGATGCGGATCATCGGCATCCCAAAATTTTTCACACGTTACATAAAGAACGCAGCTTTTGTTATTATTATTATTTTCCTTTCTTTTTGTGGCATAGAAACAATGCAAATCCATAGTTGTATTCCGAGTATATACGAATTCGTGCTACTTTATAAAAATATTAATTCATTAAATTCTCTATATTATTTTATTTATTATTACTATCAATGTCACTGTCAATTAAACTGAATATATAAATATATCATAACTGTAAATATAAAGATTATAATATGTGGATTGATTGAAATACGCCGTCAAAGTTGAAATCGAAAAATCATTAATTGAACATTTATACCGTTTTTTTTGTTTTCCACAACTTTCTCGATAACTACCAATGGCTTATTAAGATGTAAATTGAAGCTAGGACTTTTAATTATTAATAAATAGATTTGCATAGAAGTGTACCTTACGGGATTTTGTAAATAAGACACATTTACTCTACTTTTAAAATAGCTATTACTACTAAATTTGAATATAATAAAATAAATTTAGTAGCTTTAGTATGTTTACTAAAATTGAAATAAATAATTTGAATTTTTTATATTACAATAATTAACTGTGTAATTTGAGTTAATTACATTTTAAAACTGTTATAGTATACATATATAATGGAATTAACAAAGTGGATGTAAAGTAGTTTAATAAATTGGAAATGAGCAGTTAAAAAATGCTCTTTAAAAAAGTTTAAAAAATACGAGCAAAAATGTTGTGCATTGAATGAATGAGTTCCCTTTGATGCAGAGAATGCGAGGACTACTAGAGCTGTGCTGGGTCTCCGGTAACACAAACCGCCTCTCGTATTACATAATAAATCATCCCACTGCCGAGCAGTATCTCCGCATCCCCCTGCACAAGAGGGAACGACGGCAACGGCATGGGGAAATTTACCCCCGTCAATAAATTCATTATTATCATTACCACCATTTGACAAACACGTTACACACACACGGCGTGTAAAAGGCGCGCGCTGAAAAAGCGGACCAGATTTGCGCTGTTACGAGTGCAGCACGACAATAGGGAGGGAACAACTCATATTACAGGATTACACTATTTAGGGATTACCGAAGGGGTCGTCGTTGCCGCTGCACCTCCAACATCACCACCACCACCATCATCATCAGCAACAAGAACGAAATCCTTGATGTTACGCAGGGCGTGTCTCTGTCGTAACAAGAGGAATAATAAAGAATACGGGAGGTTCTTCTTCCCAAACCCTCTAACACCTTTCCTACAGGTAGCAAATTCATATTCCCATATATGACTATATTTAAGATTACAACAACGATAATTTACATTTGCTGAAACATATGTTGTATTATATATGTTTTACCAATCACCCATTCAAGACATGCATTGCTTGACTACGTTGAGCTACCATTAATATTGTAAAATTAAGGATTGATGTATGTAAATCGTTACGAATTAGATGATTTTGCGGGTAATTTACCTGCGTGGAAATTTGTCAATTGTGCGTTAAAAGTAGTAAACACCTTTTCCTAGTACAATGGCATTGCATGATGCATCATTGTACTAGGTGAGTGGAAAAGCCGCAATGTTCCCCGTACGAAAGTGAAAAGGGAATGCTGTTTTTGGTAAGGGCCTTTGTCATCCTGTCAATGGTTATCGCAAAATGAGCAACTACTTGTGCAATGTAGATGAAATACTCATTTTTGCCCCAATAAATGGTACACGCATCCGCTCCATTTGCGGATTTGCATTATGTAAGGGGCGGTTCTCTCGAGTCATTGTGCAAATTTGTATTGCATCTACATATGTTTCAATAGTTGTTGGAAGGGTCAGAATTCTATACTACCTTCATGTTTTCCTTTTAAATCATATAGACATCTAAATAACCAAACCAAATGACGATTTTTACACACATAAATACACATACTTTTAAACAAGTTAAAATCTATAATTTTGTTTGTTTATTTAAATATCTATCCAAAATTTAGAAAATTTAAATAACACTAATTGTTGTTATAATTGTTTTTGTAACAAACTATGTCAGAAATATTAAAGAAAATGAAATTTATTTTGGACAAAGTCCTCACGTTTTAAGATGATTAGTTATAGATACATGTATTATAATAGAAAGCGAACCGCGAAATCTAAGTTTCCCAAGATTATTAGTCTGAATAAATAACAGAAAAAGAATGTACATAAATTGATGCGCAGACCACAATAATGCAGAATACCGAAATAAGCACTCAACATTCTTCCGACTTTGTATGAACGCTACAGAATACTTTCCACACTTCTAATATTACTGTTAATTTAAAATGTTAGTATCATTTTTACAAATAATTGGTCCAAGTACACATCCTTGGGGTACACAAAACATTGAATAAGGATTATAGATTTAAAAAAAGTTTTAACTTAATTTATAAAAAAAAATGTTAGTGAATGTTGAGTGAAGATTAAATGTAACTAATTTTACTAATTTACAACAACAAATGTACACATTACTATATAATTAATATCTTGTGTTCATGAATGCGAGCACAATTATACAAATGTTATTCTAATAATTAAGACCATTGCATGTTCTCGTTACATTACAATTAGGAATGTGTATTGTCTTGTTCCCGAGGAAACGCATTTCATATTCTCGTTATATAAGTAAAAGTCATGAGTGACAATAACGAACTAATTAACGATTGAGTTTTTATTATATACTCAAGTGTGCAACGTGTTAAATTGCAAATAAAATAATTTCTAATTTCTGCACTTTCTACTTTTGAAGATGATTTTCGTCAGTTTTAGTTTTGCGTGTATTTGTTTAACGATCTTTCATATTGTTCGTGACGAAGTTGTTATGTTTTTTTTTTAGAAATTCAATATGCACTTATTAATTAGTTGCTAATTATTGCTAATTGGTATATTATATGGATGCATATAATTAGTTGATTAATTAGTTAATAAATATTTTAAAAATATATAGAATAAAATAAACGTATAAAAATGTACATCATTAAATATTCAATCAAATTTAATGATATAATATTGTAATACATAGAGGTAAATGGGATTCTGAAAACGTTTTTGAACTGTAAATAACCAAATTATAGCTGATTCTATTACAAGTAACTAGGTGTACTTTCAAAAGTAGTATTGTGCATTCAAACAGCATTTATCGTTGTTTTCTCCATAACAATTTTCGATCTTGAGCAATCAGATCAAAAGTAAATATATAATGTAGGGTTTTATTTATGTAGGTTTATTGGTGCGTACGCTTTCATAGTTGATGAAATTTTTAGTATTCAAAAGAGAATATTAGAACTTTTTTTTTAGAAAACCGTCGTCACTATATTAGAATATTTATAAGGAAATTAAATGTTTGTATTAATATGAAACTATTTTATGTGTATGCTAATAGAAGATTTTATTAGCGAACGTCATAAATTTTGTAATTAATGATGATTAGTTTATGAAAGTTAATTTCAGTTTAACACAAATTTGATTTCATTGTTGTAATGTGTGATAAATTATTATTTTTTGAAATTAGTGAAATTTTGGATAAAGTAAGGCCAATTGAGACCCGCCTAGAAGTTCTATCCAGTCTACTTAAGATTTTAAAACAATAGTATATCAATTTTTAATTTCAATATTAAAAAAAATAAGGGCATATCCATGAAAATTGTTTTTTTGGTGTAAATAATTCTAGCAATTGAAATTTAGTTTCTTTTGAAATTTTCAAATCCGATCAAAGCATCAATGCTTGCTGTATTTTACATTCTAGAATACTTCTTAATATTTTATAATATACTTTATTTAAAGCTATCAATTAAAATTATTAATTAACCTTATTATTTAGTAAATGTGAGATTTGTAGTAAACATTGGAATATTTTTTTTTAAGCAGAGATTTCGAACTGATAAAACACGTTTTATTGCGTTAATTGCAAATCAGTCTAACGGAAAAAGGAAACCAATTCTCTCCATTTTTTTTCTCTTTTAATGGTCGTGTGTGTGTAAGAACAGCGGAAGAGATTTCAAGTCCGGTTCAAATAAAGTAAATCGTACAACCGAATTGGCAGCGATTTTCTAGTAGCTCGCAACGATAGGAAATGGGTAATCAATTATGGAAAAGAAACAGAGAATATCGTAGGTGCTCGGTCCACAAACATATGACACCTTTTTTTCGCCTCTCCTCCAATTTAACTAACAAGATTTTTAACCCCTGTGGTAGTAAAAATAATTGGCCATAAATAACGTAGATTTATGTCCCCATTTTTTTACCCTAATATACTACATTTTGGACACGTCGCATGCACGCTCGTATTTATTGCATTTTTTTTTTAGTTAGTGTTTCGATTTTTTTTGTTTTAGCCGTCGAGTTATCAATGAAAATGGTGTAAAGCGTTGGCTTTGATGCGGATACACACCTGTGCGGGTGGTTGGTAACTATGGTGAGTTGTTGGGAGAGAGGAGAGAGCGAACCCCACGTCTCATCTAATTAGAATGATTGTTGCTCCCGAAGGAGTTAATTATAGGACGGGAAATGTAACTGGATCTCCCCAATTTTAATATATCATATAGCAGAACGCCCGGGCGTCACGCGCATTGATTTAATCGTCGTGCAGAATTGATTCATCCTCTTCATGCTTCCTCTACCATCGTCATTATTACACTTACAATTGATGCTCATTCAATTATACAGGATTGGTGTAACTTTGACACATTTTTTTAGTAACAATTTTAAGAAATTTTGTTGACTCTCATTCAACATATAGTATGTTTGTTCTTATTTTATTTTTGTTAGAATTTTGCGAAAACATAAATATTCACAAAATCTGTTAAAGCTCTTTCAATTATGCGGTTTTAATAATCAAATAATTTTTAATTGAGCAAACCAAAAAAAAAATGTTTTATACAAACCTTTATAAAAGCACATTTTTAATCATAAAAAAAACATCTTACCTGATTTTCAGCTTCGGTTAAAAATACATCTAGCTTCAATTCACATTAGTTGCTGCTAACAACTGTTTTTAATCGTCGAAAGACAAAATTGAATATAAATTTAATGATTCCATTTGGAATCACTGGGCTGGAAAGGGTTAAAATATTAGTACAAAAAATTATGTTATAAATGATCGATTTTTTGCTGTTTATCTTTATGCTGATTTAAAGTATTCAAATAGTCCGGTTTCAAACATTGCAATATTGGCAAAACCAATTATTTGCACTATGCGAGGTATTACCGTTAGATTATTGAGAAAAAGCAAGGAATCTATTGAAGCTCATTCAATTATACTGAAATATTTACTAATGATTTTGGCAAAGTTGTTGCTCATCCAATTATACTGATTTACTCTTCTTTTTTTTTTCCTAGATTTTTAGAATTTTTAGAAAATGTAAAGAATCTGGGAGGGCTGTGGAATATATGAAAAAAATAGCCTATCTCCGCAAAACGTGTCTCTGGATGTGTGTGTTGACCCTTCAGAAGCACGGTTCATTAAACGCGTGCAGATCTTGTTACAATAGTCTGACTCGATCATTAAAGGAGAGCTCTAAAATCCCATGCTACATTTTTTTTTATTCTAATGCCGCGAGAAACAATACACCGACATGAATGACATTTACCTGTCAATGTCAAGACTGCATTTTTTTATATAACCTCTATTTTTGTTTATAATTATACAAAAAGGACGTTATGTAATATAATTATTATATAGATCAGAGGTAGCCAACTTTTGTGTAAATAAGATCTACCTTTTATCTTAAAAATGTGTCGCAATCGACTTGTTGTCTTAGGCGTGATCTACCTACATAATTATTTAGTATAGATCGTCCAAAATTGGCTTTGCGATCGACTTAGCCGCCCCTGATATAGATTATCAAGAGTATTACACAATAGATACACTAAGTATCAATTTAGTTAGTTTTTATGCACTACTTACATTAAGTACTCATAGTAGTTACATAATTTAAGTTGATATACTTTCAGCACTTTTGAAATAAAGATACTCAGAAAAATAATTCGGTATTAAAACTTAGTAAATATTCACTAAATTAATTTTCGATAAGAAAAAACTACTTTAAAATATCAATTTTAAAAAATAACTCTTTCAGCATTAAAACATTAGATTTTTTTAATAATTTTGTAACGTGATTGAAAATTATTATATTATTGAATTTTATAAAATATTAACTTCAAATTTTGTATTATTAAGCAAATAAATATTCATCTAGACATATAGACATACAAATATCTTCTTTCAATATCAATTAATTGGTTGGGTACATTTTTTAAAAGTTATATTTTTTCATTTAAACATTTTCATTTCATTACAAAATACGATACAATCATTGAATGCAACAATTCAATTTGATATTATATCATATTTATATATACAAATTTATTGATACGGACAATTATAGCACCATCAAGGTTTAATATTACCAAATAATAATATGATATTGAATCAATAGTTTCAAAAATTATATTAAACAAAAAACAAATAGATTTATAAACTTTCAATAACATGATTTTATTGTAACAATGATCAACGATTGTGTCTATCATTTGATGTTGTTTTATTTATTTATTCATTTTTTTTTATTATTATTGAGTATGTAAGAAGGAAGTGCACGAAACGGATGAGTAAATGATACGGTAGACGAAATACAATATGACGCCGTAATCTTTTGCCGATTTTAGATAATATGCAATTCGAACGATTAATACGTAACGTGGAGACAACGAGAGACAACCGTGCAAAAGGAAAAGAAAAAGAAAAAATGCGAGAAAAGGAATCGGAATGAGACGGAAATAAAGTACAAACGTACCTTACGTTTGTTTATCTTATGGTTTCAGTCATATGGTTTACAAGGTAACTATTATACGGGGGCATCGTGGGATAGTGCTGATGTTTCACATGATGTACATCATGTAAGCAAAAAGAAAATAATCGCAATACGCTGACGGACAGAGAAATAATATAACAAAAAAAAATGTAAAGCCTTGTGATATTATTATATAAATTTTTTTTTTTTTTCTAACGTTTGTAAAAAAAAATTCTTTTGAATTTACGTTATAAAATTGTTATAACCAAAATCTATATGAATGCAATAAGAAACCTTAATCAATGGTCAAGTTTCGCGAAGCAATCAATCGGTTATTTGTAATTTTACACTTGTGAATCACACGTATACGATCCATTCACTTCCTTCATCGAGTGATATAATACCGAGTAATCGTTTACAAGTATTTGTGTTTCAAAATATTTTAAATTCCTGAAACTTCATTCAATATTCTTACATATTAAATGACATTCATCTGTCAAATAAGATGATTATGTCAAAATAGAATTATCAATTATTGAGTACAATCTAAGTAATCCTTTAGGAATATTTAGTGTTTACAATTATTCTCAATACCTTAAACATTCCATAACATTTTTTTTGACATCTGTCAAATAACAAAATAAAACGATTCATTCAATTTCCTCATTCATGAAACTACATTCGATATATCAATTGGATTTTTTTGACATTTGTCAAATAATATAAATGTCAAAATATAAATACTAATAATCAATTATTGAAAACAATCCAAGTAATCCTGTAATATTTACTGTTTACAATTATTTTAAATATCTTAAATATTCAATGACAGTTTTTTGACATCTGTCAAATAACAAAATGAAAATATCAATGAAAATTACAATATCAGGCATTATATCAGGTATTTTTTCAATATTATATATCAAATGACATTTTTTTGACATCTGTCAAATAAGATAAATGTCAAAATAAAAATATCAATTATTGAGTACAATCTAAGTAATCCTTTAGGAATATTTAGTGTTTACAATTATTTTAAATACTTTAAATATTTTAAATACTTTAAATATTCCATAACAGTTTTTTCTTATATCTGTCAAATAACAAAATAAAACTATTAATTCAATTCCTTCATTCTTGAAACTTCATTCGATATATCAAATGGCATTTTTTGACATCTGTCAAATAATAGAAATGTCAAAATAGAAATACTAATAATCATTTATTGAATACAATCCAAGTAATCCTGTAGTAATATTTACTGTTTACAATTATTTTAAATATCTTAAATATTCCATGACAGTTTTTTGACATCTAACAAAATGAAAATAGTTATCAACTATTAAATACGATCCATTCAATTCCCTCAACGAATGATACAATATCAGGTAATAGTTTTAGTATTTCAAAAAATAAAATAATTCTTATATATCAAATGACATTTTTTTGACATCTGTCAAATACGATACATGTCAAAATAAAAGTAGATATAGTCAATTATTAAATACAATCCCTTAGGAATATTACAATTATTTTAAATACTTGAAACTTCATTCAATATTCTCTTACATATCAAATGACGTTTGTCAAAAACAAGAAGAAATATTAAAGAAAATCAATTGTCATAGTTACATACATTTTTAGTTGTTGATTTCACTGTAAATAGAAAATATATTTACATGTTTTTCAAACCGTTAGAGTGCTTTGAACTGTTGCCACCATCGTCGTTTGTTTACTGCACACTAATTTGCGGAATGTGTGAAATGTTCTTAAAAATTCTATGGAAATTGCGCGTTGACATAATCTATTTCTTTATAGATGTGCATAATAATCTATTTTTTTTTTAACTAATTCTTCAATATTGAAATAGATTAAAAATGCAGGAATAATTCAACGTAAGAACACTATTGTATGTATTGTATTGTATGTAAATTATAAATAATTTTTTTTGTATTAATAATGGTTATCATTTAAGATTTCAAGAAAATAATATAAGTATTTGATGTTTCATTGCTTCATTCAAATTAATCGTGTAATAACTGAGGGTTTCGTGTTTCATTCAGGCAATTTGATCTGAAATCAGTCTGATTTTATTGTATTATATAAGTGTAAATAGAAGAGACGAGAATGTGAATATGTTGGTGATAATCTTGAGAAGCTGGTATAAATTGAACGTGCGTCTCCCTTTGCGCACATGCATTTCTTTTTATTTATTGCCGCCTCGCCATTGGTCGACGCTAAGGGTTGAAACCATAACAACGGTTGAGAGACGTGCTGCTATTGGGCGGATGGGGCGGAGCGTTCGTAGGGCGAAGTTATCCGTGCTCCGGTATCACCGTGCGTCACTGGAGACATAAGTGAATTAAGTGCGCCTCGATGGACTGACCGACTACCGGTGTTTACTTATGCCACATTTGCTAATATCGATTATGTAAGTGGACATATTGTATTCGTTTTTTTTGTGTGAATCGGTGCGAGATCGATCGATGCGGCCAACGACAAGATGGAAATTGACAGAGTATCAAGTGCATCCAGTGATTCAGGAGGCCATTTCCAATCTATCAACTATTACGGTGACAACATCTTCCAGAATTGCGCCGGCAAAAAGACCGAGTTCGATGGATACTTTTACACGGACGATACTCCAGAGAAGGAGATGCAGGACAAGCTGCAGACGCTGATGCCAGTCGGAGGTGGTGGAGGCTCAGGAGGAGAGAAGGAAAAGGATAGAAAGATTGATTATTTTATGGGGAAGAAGGACGATTTCGCGGTGAACAATAATAACATTGCTGGAAAATTGCCGGAGGATTACCACAAGAAGAATCTGGACTTTCGGTTCAATAACAGCAAGAACAAGAACTGTGATTTTGTGGACAGTCGAAAAGTTGACTATTTCAGCAAGAAGTCGGACTCGAATAGTATACATCTCAACAATCTAGACTCTTTCGGGAAGAAATCTATTAGTTTCTCAGCGGATCAGGTAAACATCGCATGAAAATAACATCAACATCTTTAATAATTATCTTAAGTAGATAATACAGAATATTTAATCATTAAGTTATCATTCAATTTACACGAATGTAAATGGAAGCAAAACCTCTTAATAAATACAAGAATTAGAACTAATCAAATGCATAAATGTATGCATTTTTTGTAAACGACAAACAAAACAAACAATTTTACATTATATAACTTTTTCCTTATTTCTTTTAAAACTGGAATATAAAATTTGTTCAATTAAGTCATCATCTTCTAAAAATCTAGAATTCTTGATTTTCCTAATTTTTATATTGAAATAAAAGAATATTGGACACTCACAATTAGTTAAATTAATGTAGCAAAATATATGTTTTAAATAAAAAAAAACATCAAGTTTCTAAGATATTTTAAATGAAACAGATAAAATTCTGAAGAAGTATTTATAATATACAAACAAACGTGTACGTTTTCATGTCTGATATGAAAATAGCCATGCAGATTTACAAGAAACTTTATATCTTATGTGAATTCCAAGAATTTTTGTTTTAAAATAAATTAGTTTTACTCGGAATGTAGATTACATAAATGGTACATAAACATTTAAACAGTTTTCTTAAAAAAAATATATATTGGCTAACTCTTTTTTTTTATCTAAGTTATCTATTTCTATATTCAATATGGATTATAGATACAGAATCTTCATTTCATGAAGTAGCTTATAATGAATTAGGATAAGAAAAAGTAGAACTCTTCATTCAAGGGTGAAAGGATTATTACCTAAGTATACCTTTTGCTTTGTCGTGTTCGAGGACTACTTTTATTTTCCATAGGATTATTGTCACTTTCCTCACTTACAATAAGGTAGCTGCTATGTATGCATTGTTGACCGGTGAAAAGGAGCTTAAAGAATAGATGCGAGATTACGTGAAATTGTCCGCAAAATCGGGGAACGCAATCAGCGTAACGCCATGTACCCAAAAGCTTCGATTATCTAGTTGGAAAAGTGTAACTCTAGATTTCAATCTTTGGGGATTATTTAAATTCTGGACACATAATTACGGATGGAAAAGGTGTGCATTGTTATAATGAAAATAACTGAAATTTTAGAAAAATAGACCAATTTGCGTCAAAATTTAATTGCTATAATAATCTTTTATTACAATTAAAAATAAAACATTTAACTTCGTATAATAATAACAATTAAAATGTCAAATTTGACATAATTAAGAAACTTTCAAGTAATTATAGTTGAATTGAATTTTATATCGAGTTAGTTGAAGTTATGAATGTATGTGTCGTAATGCTTTTTTTTCCGTTGTAAGTAATAACTAATTGCAAGTCGTATCTAATCAAGAAAACGTAAAATATAAGTTCTAAACCTGTTTCACATATACTTTTATAATAATTTGATTACAAATAAGTAATTTCAAATAAATTAAGAATAAATTTGAATTAAATACATAATTTGCTACTTGACGGAATTCGCAAAGTGACAGATACATTTATTTGACAATTTAACTGTCACTTTGTGAATTCCGCCAATGAAATTGAATCGAAAATGTTGTAATAATGAATATAATTGAAATAAAGCAATACAAAATTTCTTAAAAAAAATTAGCAATAATTAAAAATTAATTCTTCTGAAAGAAATAGTCGATATTTGCAAATCATAGCGATGTAGTGTTACACTGCATTATTATTAACACGATTCGGTTTTATGAATGGAGGCGAGCTTTAATTTCTACGCAAGACAGGATGTCTGCGAGGTTTGTTATGTAAACAGAATTGGGTGTAAGGCGAAGCGAGCGGAATTGATAAAATTTTGCAATAACAAATGTATCAGATGGTCGAATCGATCGTTATTTTGTATTTTTTTTATTAATATTTCACTTGGGTGTACGCTTTCACGTCACGTTCGAAACATGACGGTGATAAAGAGGCAATAACTGAATGATCGAGAAACAATTGTTGCAGGTGCAATGCATGTGCGAGGCTCTGCATCAGCGTGGAGACATCGAGCGTCTGGCGAACTTCTTGTGGTCATTGCCGCCGTCGGAGTTGCTCAGAGGAAACGAAAGTATATTGAGGGCACGGGCTGCCGTCGCTTTCCACAGAGCCTCCTACCATGAACTCTATGCGATTTTGGAATCGCATTCCTTCCATCCGCGTTGGCACAGCGATCTTCAGAGTCTCTGGTTCAAGGCCCATTACAGGGAAGCGGAAAAAGTACGGGGACGACCTTTGGGTGAGTTTCTGCAAACAACAAATGTTATGACAATGATCATGCTCATCATCTCTGATGGAATTCCAATTCTCCAAACATTACAATTTTGCTGTTTTTTTTGTAGGTGCCGTAGATAAATATAGATTAAGGAAAAAGTATCCTCTGCCAAAAACAATTTGGGATGGTGAGGAGACGGTGTATTGTTTTAAGGAGAGGAGCAGGAACGCGCTGAAGGAATGCTACGCGAGGAATCGATACCCGACGCCGGATGAGAAAAGGGCCTTAGCTAAACGCACCGGCCTCACCTTGACGCAAGTTTCCAATTGGTTCAAGAACAGGAGGCAAAGGGACAGAACGCCGCAACCGCGAACGTGAGTCACAATTACTTAACTTATATATTACTTTAAGAAATTGACAAATTTTTGACGTATTTTAACAAAACGTCATTTAAACGTCATATGTCATTGTTTCGATGACGTGGCATTTATTATATGAAATTTTACACATTGTTTTAGATTTTTTTATCTAATTTCTCTTCAAATTACATTTATTATAACTAATATTATTTTGTGTCAATAAAAACATAGATTTATACTGAAGATTCTGATAAAATTGAGTAAAAAAGTATTTATGAAAAAAAATCTGTAAATTCAAATTGAAACTATGAAGTTTCATAAACTTTTATTGCTTATTTAACCATAATTCTGAACAATTACATATAGCAATGTAAAGATTGCAAATTATAAATAGGATTATATAAAAAAATATGCATTTGATGTGTATCAGGTGGATTTCTTGTAAATCATTGTCGATTATGCAATTTTGTTGTCTATACATTTTATCGTATTTCTCGTTAATAATCCTAGTTACTTATATTTTTATAATTATAATAACAAACTACAAAAAAAACTTCTTCATTTTACAAAACGAAAATATTGCAATTTCTGAAAAAAAACTGCATTTTCATTCCATCAAAAGTTTATAACAATAATAATAAATAGAAATTACTTCTTTTCACTTCTTCAATTTATAAATGAAAAATTTTCAATTTCTGAAACAATAAAACTGCATTCTCATTCCATCAAAAGTTTACTTTAATATGCGAATTTTATTCCCTCGTCATTTAAAAAATTCACAAGATTTATTATGCTATTTTTTACTCTCTTGCATCAGACTTTCTCCAGACCAGCAGCCTCGGGTCTGACAAAATGCTTATAAGTTAATTTTCTCCACAAATTTCCTATTACTTCGAAAAAAAAAACATTTTTACCAGTTTTTTTAATTAAATTATTTATATTCAGTTCATAAAACATCTTATCTTTTCTTCCTACTGGTAGTTTATTCTACTTTTTGGTTTTGTTTACCAATAGAGACATTAAGTTCAAGATTTTTTCATTGGATTCTGAAGTTACGCTGCATGCATATCCGGCAAATTGGAACGTGCCGTCGATGCGTCCAATACTTTTAAACTTAATTTAGTGGAAATTAACACTGGGACATTCGCAGTTTACGATTAGAAGGAGGCGGAATGTCGAGGATAAATGCCCTGACCATGTCCTGTGGTAGTCATAACACACTCCGCTGATTACGAATGGGGAGGCTCGGTTTATTGGCACTTCGCAGAAGGACGGACTATAAAAAAGCTATTAATCTCAATACTCCTACTTTTAAGCATCGCCACCCACTCTGTACGACACTTGACAAGTAACTCGTGTTAATGGAAACACACTCAAGTACTTAGAATACATGCTATGAAGTACTAACATTATGCGACAGATACATTAATGAGAATTATAATCTATAATTGGCAAGTAACGCGTCCATATAAAAAAAAATTGAAAAAAGCAGAAATAATTTAGACATCACGATTTTACTTTTGGATTTACCAAAAAAAAAAAATTAATAGAAAAATTATATAAAATATAAACTTGAACTTGATTGCGATTTTATTAATAAATACATCGGCTAAACTTCAAATGCAAAGCCGCACCAATTACGCCGCTTTTACCGTGCATACTTAAACGCTACTAATTTCCGTTCTAATAATTTACCTCGTTATATGATCACACTTGATTTCATTCGTTTCATTATTTATTGTTTTGTATCGCTTTTGAGAATATGTAATGTAAATGAAAGCTAGTAGTAGTTATTTGAAAATTAAGCACACGTATGAAAAGTATACATTTTCCATTGTTCAATTTACTTTAGATTTGAGTGAAAATAACTGTAATTTTGACATCTGTCAAATTGACAGCTGTCAATTGTCTACAGTTTAATGTATCTTATTTAATTAACTTTTCATGAGTAATAATAAATCAATTCTCCTTTTTCTTTAAAGTGAGAATTCGTAAAGTGAGAACTGTTTCACATTGAAAATCATAATTTTGTATAAGGTAACGAAGCAAAATATTGATAATTCTTTAATATTTTGTAATAAGAGCTTAGTATATGAAATACATATATTTGGGAATTCTTAGTATTCAAGTCTACTTTTCCTGAATATATAGCTATACCTCACATAGTACGGCTTTGGTCGGTCCGGATTCACTAAAGTCCGGTTTGAAAATTTCAACACAATCTCAATTTTAATTGAGCAAAATACAAATAAATTTTAAATACGTAGGACAAAAATTACATAATTATATATATTTAGATTTAGATAATTTTCAACAATAATTTATTGTTTATTTTTAAGATTTAAATCATTGCAGTTAATTGAAAATTAAACACATATATGAAAAGTATACATTGTCCTATTTATATTATAACTCAAAATAATGGTAATTTTGACATCTGTCAAATTGACAGCTGTCAACTATAGCTTATCTATAGTTGAATGTTTCTGCTACGAATCAAATCATAGTTAAACAACGATTGTTGATCTTTTGATTGGATATTAAAATAATCCTAATAAATGATATAAATTAAATAAATAAAAATGAAGAAATAATAAAAATAACTAATATTATTTTTCATTATAAATTCTTTGAGGCTATCGACCCGAAGTCTCATGCTCTCATCGGAACCAGATTTTTGTTTCGTGTGGAATTTGAGAATGCCAAAAAAAAATCCGACATGGAATTTGTATCGTGATTGAGAAAGTAACGATTCTGACCTCAATCTTATTTCGTTTGTTATTAGTGTGTTATTAGATCATTTAGTAATTTCTCGGTGTGTTATGTATCATACATACATTTTTTTTGCACTTCAAAGTCTACAACAGCTGCACAGTTATACGAAGCAGAAGAAAGAAAATTACAATTTATACAATTTCGTTTCCAGTTGTTTAAAAAAAATCTCAAAAAGAAACCAGAATACCGTGAAAGCATGTAAAACGATAATTGCAATATTGTTTACTATAATTGTACATACATTTTAATTTATATGTTTTTTTGGTACAAATTATTGAATTATTTCTTGAAAAATTAACTAATTTGTTAATGAATATGCACGCTAATTATAAGAAACACAATGTTTGAATACGTAACAAAGCAGCTGTCAAATGAAAATACGAACTGACACTAATGACGTTTCTCAGAAAAATTTGACAAGTGTAGAAAAAATTACTAATTTTGACAAGTAAATATCACTTAGTTACTTACATAAAGGTATCATAAAATCAGGTATGTCGATAAATACCATTTTAAGAAAGTCTTAGATACATTTTTATTTTACCTGCAATAAAAAATAGAATAAAAGACAAATTGCAAAATAATTGAGCATAACAGAATTGTAAACTAATTATTTCTAATGATATGCGTTGGTAATTGAGACGCGACGTGCGTGTATTTATTGTTGAAATAAAAAAAAGATTAAAGGTAATCGTAATAATTAACCTCAGAGTAAGGAGTTGTTTACGTTTACGCCATAGATATTTCTGAGATTACGAATCGAAAGTAGAAGTCGAAACGACATCACTTTCTCGCCTTCTAACCGTGAAGTCTGTAAACAGCGTCGATGTTGTGTGTGTGTGTACTTTGGATCGCTTTTCCATTTAGGGTGGAAATCGAGAAAACGCATTTTTTTCTCCTTTTAATTACACACTTCCTATTATTACTACTCACTTTAAATACTGTTATAACCATTAACAAAACGAAGATAATAGTGAAAATTGATATGTTTATAGCGATAACTGCATGGTTATAACGATAAGTAGTTCCTGACTTTCATAAAATTAGGACGCATTTCTGTGTAAAATATTGCAATTTTCATGATTCACATTGAAAAAATATTATAAAAGATTCATTAATTGATATCTGGTCAATATAAAAAATCATAAGTTTTCAAATGTATAATTATGAAACATTTCTCCATTTAAAAAAAATATGAGAATTTGTAAAGTGATAATTTTATTATGATCATTGCAGTTTAATGAAAATGTGCAGAATTCATTATGTTTCACATAGAAATACAAACTAAATTGTAATTGAGTAAAATAAAAAAACGAGTACACTAAATTATTGTTTGTACATAAATGTTTTCCCATTTATACTGTCAATCCATTTTTGTTTGTATTTTGTTCCTTGATTAGTCCGGTTCAAACAGGAATTGATTAACCGCACTAAGCGAGTACAGTGGAACCTCGCTTAATGTTCCAAAATTTCCAGATTTTGACATTGTACGTTAACTTCAGTAGTATATTGATGCTCTGCGATTCCACTATTTTCTTTGACTGTGGATCTTCTGCTATCCTTAACACTGTCATTGTCCATCGATTTGGCGAAGGGTCATCATTCATTTGACTGTCCATCTGTGATGAACGATGGCCCTATTGCTGCAAGCACTGAGAGGGCTCACAAAGGGCCTGGCTTGACCAGGATTCGAACCGGCGCTCACGAAATCTTGGGAAGGGCGACTTAACCATTCGGCTATTAGTCGCCCTATACAACATATAAACTAAAATTTTAAACAATTCTCTAAACCAATTAATCGTATATTTTTGTTTGTTCTTTGTTGCAGTGATATTTTGTTGAGTAATATGCCGATGACGCAGACAAATCTCATTGGAAATCACCAGAATGGAATCGACATGGTCACCTTCCAAGCGGCATCGAAACTCTTCGACGGTTCATGTGCAGTATACAGCGATTATCAAATAACATAGTGTCCAAATTATCCTCATTTCACTTATTTTCCCTCAAAGTTCTTCTAACGCACTTGTACATAGTTAGGTAATAGCGACAATTGAAACAATACAATGAGAATATAGGATTTGTTTGTTACGTTTTTTATTTTATTATTTTTTTTATTATATATTCTTTTCTTCAGTTAAGAACTAATTGCGATAATTGATATTCAATAATGTTATTAATATTATTATTTATAATCACCCCGAAAAAAAAAAACTATACACAATAATATACATATTTTGTACTTATAACAATTTATTATTTCTTTTATGTACAAATTAATAATGCAATATTGGGAAACAACAGAAAATTTGTTTGTGCAAGTTGAATTGTATTTGAAAAGTGGTTTGTCTGTGATGATCAATATAAACAATTTTTCAAACCATGAATTTCTTTCATAATTTATTATATATTTCCTTCTATATTCCTTTAATTAATAACATGTTAACTTTTCTTAAGTTTTTCCGTTTTTTTTTCATTCATCAGAACTAATTTTGATAACATAACATAGAAAAAGTCGTTTATTTCTGATGATAAATTGTAAATAAATATAAAAATTTAATTGTATAGTTTAGGTTAAAAAAAAGAAGTAAATAATTACGTAGAATTAGACTTTTAACATTTGAGCGAAACAAGCAGATGGCTTCGTGTAGAAAGCATGAGAAATTGGTGAAAGAGTATTAAAACTAAATTAGACTAATAAAGTAACAGTTTACATCTTTTTCTCTGTTGAAATTAACGATCATTCTATTATTAATTGTTCACGTTTGTCGTGGATTTTTTGTTGAAAACAATTTCTTCATTTCTATATGAATTATGGATAATATTATTTTTCCTATGGGAACGTAAACGTGTATGAATATAAAAGGCAAACTTAATTATAAAAAAAAATGTATACAATTAATTGATTAATGTCATTGACATCTGACAGCTAATGAAAGTTAAGCAACGTTTGTTATTGTTCATATGTGAACAGTCATAATATTTATATAATGCTAAAATATTATACGCAACTGATGGATTTTGACTTCAATGCTCTCGTTAATGCAGTTACTGTGGTTTTAGCTGTTTGGCTGTAATTCGTGTTCAAATTTTAAAAAATGCTCGAAAAAGCAGTGTTTTTACATTTCATGATTTACTCGAAAACTATAATACATAGAATGAATCCAAAAGATGCATATGAAAGCTGAATGTTTGGGGAATCTAGCAAGTATCGATATATTATGTGGTTTTAGCCGTTTGGCTGTAATTCGTGTTCAAAGTTTAAAAATGCTCGAAAAAGCAGTGTTTTCACATTT